GGCTGACCTCTGATGGCAGGGCACTGGCGACCACGCAAGATGCACCCAATTTTGGCTTGGGCGATATGCTTTCTGTTGAGCTGGCAATAGCTTTCCTCATTGTGGCGCCAGATGAGGCTTTTAGAGCTAATGCCAGGTGTCCTTGTCCTCAGTGCCGTGTCACTGATGATCTGCTCTGTAGAGCCTATGACTCTGGGTCTCATTTGTGGCGACTTGGTAATTCTCTGTCACATTTATTGCTGGGTCTCTCAGCTTCTTTGGAGTGTGTCGTGATAGATGCACCTACTCAAGGACTGATGGACAATCTCTCCATGCATTTGCTCTTCTGTCGAGGGAAATTAGATGTGTCCTGTCTACCCTTGTTCAGGCACGCCACCAGATTTAGCGGCCCAGTCTCCTGACCCTGATGAGCCTTCCAGTGGTTCCTGGAGAGTTGTTTGGCTCCGCTACGCTTGCAGCCCTGGAGCGGTCAGCCCAGGCTTCATGTACCAGGCAGCAGTTGGCCGGCCTTCATCGCAGATGAGTGCAGCGTCCTGCTAGGAATGTCTCTGTTTTCCTATCGCGCACTTATCCTGCCCAGACTACACCTCGCTTTGGACAGCCACAGCTTGCTGCAGGGCCTGCTGGAAGACCTACCCGTGGCCAATGGGATCTACCCAGAGGTCGGGCTCATGTCTCCTGTCTCTGGTCAAGTCAGGATGACAGTGATTCATGGCCAGGTAAAGGCTCAGGCTATGAGCCAAGAGATAGACACCTTGCAGGCCAAGGGTGCTATATTGCCCGTTGACCCCTTCGGGATCCAGGGGGCTTTTATCAAAGTATTTTTAGCCCCGAAAAAGACTGGGGGACTCCACCCAATTTTGGACCTGAGAGGTCTGAATTTATTCCTGAAACCCATCCCTATTCACATGTGGAGCATCAGAGATGTGCTTCAGGCAATCTCACCAGGCAACTGGTTCCCCTTGGTCAACTTGAAGGATGCATATTTTCTTGTCCCGATTGCACCACAGCATTGGCAGTTTCTCGGCTTTGCATTTCAGGGCAAGCATTTTCACTTAAGAGTTCTTCCATTCTGCCTCTCTCTGTCCCCACGTGTGTTCACGCGGTGCGTGGCCACAGCCTTTTACCCTCTGCAGGCCAAGGGATTGAAGATCCTGCCTTACTTGGAAGACTGGCTCATCTGTGCACCCACAGAAACTGAAGCCGCTGCAGGCACGTGCACCTTGCTCAATCACGTAGACCTATTGAGTCTTCCTGTGAACTGGCAGAAGAGCAACCTGATTCTGTCTCAGCAGTTTTCTCGGTATCACAATGGACTCTCTCACAATGACTGCTCGCCCATCGCCTCAGCATGTCCAGGGCATTCTGCAGATGCTGCCTGCCTTTCTGCCCGGTTGTGCAGCCCTCTTCATTCTCTATCTCCATCTGCTGGGAAAGCTGACTGCTGCCGCTACGGTAGTACCTCTGGGACTACTGTCTCTGCGACCACTGCAGATGTTGCTTAACAGCCTGGGGGGTCAGATCCTGCATCCCAATCCGAGTCGCCTCCAACTCTGGGTTTTGCCACTTCAGGGCCCGGGGTTTCCTTCTCAGAGTATGACGGGGACATCAAACACACAAGGACTAATGCCAGGGCCCCTTCCATGTGACTGGTGTACACCCATAAGTGTAAGTCTTTTAGCCGCTGGTGTCAAGAAAGAAATGAGGACCCAGTACACTGACATATTTCTGTTATTTTAACCTTCCTTCAAGCACTGCTTTCTCAAGGTTGCACTTCATCCACTCTGAAAGTTTAATTTGCTGGTCTGGCACTGAAGGCATATGTCAGACTCACAGCTTCTCTTCGGCAGTCGGATAGTCTGGTTGTTTGCTATACAGGGCCCCGCAAGGGGCAGGCCCTTTCTAAACAGCGCCTTGAATGTTGGATTGTGGATGTGGTGCCAACCCGGCTGGTGTACGGTGCCATTCCCCCAGGTGTGTTATGGCCGCTATGACTGGTGTCACTCTGGAGGCTATTTGTTCAGCAGCCTCTTGGTCATCCCTGAATACCTTTGCTAG